AATAATTTGAAATGATACCAACATCTTTTGGTCATTCCTCTGCCAAGTCCTCGGGTTCTTTTCAGATGTTATTTTTCATTTTAGAGGATTAGCGGATTGCATCCGAGTGTTCGGATACCCGTCCGACAGTCCAATCTTGTGGATCTGTGCTATTGATGATGCACGCACTTGGTTAGTTATTTCGGTGATGTGTCCAAATTGACTTTTTTAATGAAGAGTGATTATGTACATCATTCAATAATATGATTGTTTATTATTATTATTCGTCATTATTATTATTTATTATTATTGATTATTAGTAATCATTATTTATCACTAGTAATTTGTATTTGTTGCGACTAATCCCCAATAATCAACATTATTATTGTGTGTTTACAATTCCCATTATTTAGGCCGATTTATATTTGGCCAAATGCAACGGAAAACGTCACAGATGGTACACTCGAAGATGCATTAAAACAATTCAATGAATATTATCAAATAAGAGGATGGCTAATCTGTCCGCATAAGATCACAGATAAAGTTCGTCGTTCGATTATCGATTACAATTCGTTTATTTGAGTAATTGCGATATTAAACAAAACAGCAAATTACAATCTGTTACCTGAAAAGTTTTTTTCTTCAAAAAAAGACGTTTCTTATTCTTTTTCCTTCTCTTTTTTCACACAGTTTCATACTCCCTCTGAATCTCCCCTTTTATCTCATTTCACTATCGACATCATTACTTTTGACTGTATTTGAAATTTCCCTTTTAGGTCATCGAAATTTGCAATCGGTTAACAGAAGGCGTGGATAAATGGCATTGTACCGATGGATTTTATCTGTTTTATATGAACACAGAACAGCAAAAAAAATTTTGTGAAAAGAAGGTTGAATTGCCGTCGGAGTTTAGATTTGACGACGTGCGTCCAGATTCGGATCGCATATGCAAATGGGAAAGGTATGCAGGCACATTTCGATGCAATTCTTTTACGCACAAATATCGGTGAATTGATCAGTGACGTATTTCGTCAATTCATTTGTCCATTTCGC